GAGCAACTGCACAGGGCCCCCAATTAATTGGGGCCCCATATATAAATATTAAAATATTATATATATATATATATAATAATATAAATAAAAAATATAATAATATATTAAATGACATTCATGTTAGAACATTAATCTTGTTTTTGTTGTATTTTGTGGGTACGAGGACATCTTGTTTTAGTTGTATCGTTAAATATTTGTATTTTATTAATAAAATATTAAAAATATATTATTCAATATTGTAATTAGGGGGGCCTAATTTTATTTTTCGCTCTGGGCCCAAAAAATGTTGGAGACGGCCCTGTTTATTACTATTTCAGTTTTATAGTTAATTAGAATAATTTGGATAATCATTTGAATCGATCTATTTTATTGGTGAATTAAATTGAGTTATTTGTAAAGAACTTCACATGAAGGTTATATATTGAAGATGTCGATTCGGGGCCCCACGTTATTCCGACAACCAAGTATATCTACGGTTAGCTCTTGAATTCCACTTGCTGAGCATTTGTGGTGTGAGCAGGCCCGGCCCTGGCCCAGGGCGAGCTGGGCGACGGCCCAGGGCCCAACTGAAGAAGGGGGCACCAAACTTCAACTATATGAGTATATGCCATATGTTATAAAAAAGGCCCAACAAATATTAGTATAGAGCTCTACAAAAAATAATTCAATGGGCCATTAAAATGTAAGAAAAAAAGTCCTCTTATAATTAATAAGGCACGTGGGATAATGGGAAAACGAAAATAAATAACAACAAATTCACATCCTTTTCCTTTTCACGTTTCTTCTCTGCGACTGTGGGTTTTCTCCCTTTCTATTCTTTTTTTTTTTTAAATAAAAAATAAAATGGCCTCCAAAATTTATTGAGCTCGAATTGGTTGTTTTCCTTTGAGAGTGTGGCCCCTTTTCATCTTCTCTATTTCTATGTTCCCAAGTTTCAACGACCAAATTATTTATGAATTATACTTTTTATTTCAATAAATTCCTCCAAGAAAAAAGAATGGAATAATTGTTGATATATATAAATTCTATCGTTTGTTTTAGAATAAACGATAGGGCATTATTTTGCATTTGGCCCAGGGCCTTATAGTAGCCAGGACCGGCTCTGGGTGTGAGGAGACCTACTCCGAGCACGTTAGTATTTAATTCTTCCACCATTCTCAAGGCCAAAATTTCGCCCGTAAGGTGTTCGACGAAATTCCTAAAAGAGTTTCAACTCTAAAATGGGACCAAAACAAGCAACTCGGGGCAAAGCAAAGGCTGCGAACGCGGGAACTTCAGCGACTGCAAGCGGGGTGAACCGACGGATCTTCGGGCGGTTTGTAATGCCCCTTTTGCTATATTTTCAGAAAGAGAAGGGGAGACCTATCGTCGCCTCTTGCAACAGAAGATGGTCAAACCGAAGTCAGTTCGATTTTGTCACGTCAAAACTCTTAAAAAATTTTGAGAAGTCTAAATAAAATACACTAGAATTTATAAAGTATTAAAAAGTCCTTAAAAATCTCTAAAAATTCCAATTAATTGATTTTGAAAGTAAAAAGAGGATTGAAGATTTATTGAAAAACTCACGTTTTTTTTTTATTATATTTTTTTCACCCTATCATCTCACTTTTTCAACCCACAAATATTTTCGAAAACAACTTCTATCTAATCTACCCAGATAAAATATAAGTCACATGACATAGTACAATGATGCACATGATCCAGAGTAAAAGTACTTACCTAACGTCCTCTTACCTAAGTCAATAATGTATCAAAATCTTGTCTTTTATCGCTCTCATCAGTCGATGTGTATCCGTTTTTTATATGGAAAATCAACTAATAATCTTTGTGCGATTATCAATCATCGGTCATATCTCTCTGCACCCCCAACAGTACTGAACAAAATTCTCTGAACCCAAAATCGTCATCTCAAACGTCATATATACTTCCCGTCCTTTTTTACCCCTACACTCATATATTACTTTCCCAACTCCTTGAGTCCATTCATATCCACAGACTAACAGACGACTGTAATAAGTACCCGATCATCAACCAGATCTCTCTCTCTCATCAATTACACACACAAACACACACAGAGTAGAGCAATGGATTCGCCACACCCACACGTGCTCCTCGTAACGTTGCCCGCCCAGGGCCACATCAACCCGTCCCTCCGCTTCGCCAAGCGGCTCTTGAATATGGGCATCGAGGTCACCTTTGCCACGAGCATCCACGCCCGACACCAGATGGAGAAAACCGCAGTAGGCCCCACCCCTGACGGCCTCTCCTTCGCCCCCTTCTCTGACGGCTTCGACAACGGGTTCATCCCGAACCAAGACGACCACAAGAGGCATATGACCGAGATAAAGATCCACGGCTCCCGAGCCCTAAGGGACACCATTCTCAAAGCCTCCGAAATGGGCCGACCCGTGACGTGCCTCGTCTACACTCTCCTCCTCCCGTGGGCCTCTACAGTGGCCCGAGAGTTCCAAATCCCCTGCGCCCTCCTCTGGATCCAGCCTGCCACTGTTCTCGACTTGTACTATTACTACTTCGATGGCGCGTTTGGCGATATTAGCAGTGTCAGGCTGCCCGGGCTCTCACATATCACCTTCTCCAAGAGGGACCTCCCCTCCTTGCTACTTCCCACATCGGATATGTATAACGAGCCGAATAATCAAAATCGTTGTTTATCGTGTCAAATTTGATGTAGTACCCTGCAGCGACTTAATTTACGTTTTTGCCCCTCCAGGTACCACTTAGTGCTCCCGGCCTTCAAGGAGCAGTTCGACACGCTGAACATTGCCGAGACGAGGCCGAAGGTTCTTGTCAACACGTTCGATGCGCTCGAGCCCGGCGCGCTCCGCGCCATCGAGCGCTACGACGTGATCGGCGTGGGCCCGCTCGTGGACGCTGATATTCGAGGCGACCTGTTCGGGAAATCCGAGGGATGCATCGAGTGGCTCGACTCGAAGCCTAAATCGTCGGTCGTGTACGTCTCGTTCGGGAGTCTCGTGAGTTTGGAGAAGGCGCAGATGGAGGAGATCGCCGGGGGGCTGCTCGGCTCGGGGAGGCCGTTCCTGTGGGTGGCACGGGAGTCGGTGGGGTGGGTGGAGGAGCTTGTTCGGGAACAGGGGAAGATTGTGGGGTGGTGCCAGCAGATGGAGGTGCTGGGGCACGAGTCGGTGGGATGCTTCGTGACGCACTGCGGGTGGAACTCGACGCTCGAGAGCTTGTGGTGCGGGGTGCCGGTGGTGGCGTTCCCCGTGTGGTCGGACCAAGGGACGAACGCGAAGATGATTGAGGAGGAGTGGGGGACTGGGGTCAGGGTGGGGCCCGGGGAGGACGGGAAGGTGTCGGGGGAGGAGATCACGAGGTGCATCGAGCGGGTAATGGAGGGAGGGGAGAAGATGAGGGAGAATGCGGGCAGGTGGAAGGGTCTGGCGAGGGAGGCCTTGGCTGAGAATGGATCTTCGTATAGGAATTTGGAGGCCTTTTTCAAGGAGTTGGAGTTGGGGCATTTGAATAGTTAGTTTGTGTTTTGGTTGCTAAATTTTTTTGTTTTAAAGTTCATTGTTTTGAGAAATGAATGATGGAACTTGTGAAAGAATGTAGCAGAATTATTTTCAAATCAGCCCTTAGCTTCGTGTTTGGGTTGTTCTCTTTTTGATCAGTTTAAGTTGGTTTCTTTAGGTTGATTTTTATTTTTTATTTTTTATTTTTTATTTTTTATTTTTTGAAGTGATAGATAAATAACAGTAAAACTGTCTTACAACCGAACGACTTACTAGCCTTCCGAAAACGAAACCAACTAAAAGAACCGCAACACTACGGTCTGGACAAACGAAAAATTAACTATACTCAAGGCAAATACATGGAATTAGACCATTTAGCATACAAAAACAAACTAGCAAACAAACGCAAAACAACGTAAAAAAAAAATAAAAACTATAACCCCACTGTACATAAGAGCCTAGGTTAAAACAAAGTAGCAAACAAAAGCAAAACAAGGAAAAAAAAACTATAACCCAGCCTAGGTTTACAGATTCTCCACAGCCCTCCAACCAGCTATCTCCTCGTGGCAAGGAACTCAGCCCATTCCCTCTAAGAAGCACCGGCATCCAAATCTTTTGTTACACCCACAGATTGCGTGCCTTCCAGATCCACCATAAAATATATGTAGACAATTGAATCCGAACCTTTGAACCTTTGAACCATCCATAGTAGACACTAGGGCTAAGCACAGGTTAGTTCGGTTCGGAGATCCAGAAATCTCCGGAACCGAACCGAACTTCAGAGATTCCAAAAACTGGATCTCCGGAACCGAACCAATTTTAATAAATCTCCATTCCAAACGTTGGTTCAGTTCGGAGATTCGGTTCTGATGGGTCGGTTCGGTACGGATCGGAGATTTAGGAGATTTTTTCTAATTTTTTTTTTAAATCTTCTAATTGCATGTTAGATGGTACATATCATGGAGGAAAGAAAATCATAAACCTCTTTTAATTTCAAAATATATTTCGTCAATTAATAGTAAGAATAAGTGGTTAAAATCTTTTTTATTTTATAAAAAAAGTGATAATTACCTTTCAGTTGCAAAATATCATAATTTAATTTGAAAGATTTATATGCTAAACGTTTATATGCCAAAACATCTGCAAGTGATAAGACGTACATGAACAATAATCAATATAAAAATAGTTACTTATTAAATAAAAGGATATTTTAAAAATATATTATGTCCAAATAAATTAATATCTTCCGCCCGATATCGTGACATTCGGATATAGTACATATAAAGTTTGTTTCGAAAAGTGATGATATTTAATTTTATTAAGTTATAATTAATTTTATTAATAAATAATCGATATATCCGTTCTTAATCGAATATTATGGTAAATATATCTTTCAATTTATTTTATTTTAGAATATATCACCTTAAAATAAATCATTCTCTCCAAGTTTTGTGAAAAACTTACTTCGTAAAGGTTGGTTTCCAGACATTCGGTATTTAAATTTTATTAAGTTATATCTATTGATTTTCTTAATAAAATACTTGACATGTTAGCTATCAAATTTTGTAATAAGAAGAGTATATTAATTTAATTTTCTTTTCAAAAATTATTTCGAAAATGAGATCTTAGATTTAATAGTGTCTCATAAGCAGTACCAAAATAAAATAATTATTTTTTCAGTTTTTAAATTCTGTTCATGTTCAATTCAATAGTGGATGTTTTTTCGCAACTCAATTTGAAATATAACTTATGATAGTTTTATGGACATATACATAATACATATAGATTTTGTTTGAGTACAAACAAAGATGAAAAACATACATATGAAAAAATATAATATAATACAATATATATATATATATATATATATAGGGGGCAGATCAAATGAGGACAACTCTTAAAATGCGGACAGCTCTTAGCAACTACAGAGAAATAACATAGCAACTACAGAGAACTAACCTATCAACTACTAACCTAGCAACTACAGAGAACTAACCTACCAACTACAGACAACTAACTTAGCAACTACAGAAAACTAACCTAGCAACTACTAACATAGCAACTACAGACAACTAACCTAGCAATTACAGAGACTAACCTAGCAACTACAGAGAACTAACCTAGCAACTACATAGAACTAACCTAGCAACTATAGACACCTTAGACACGTGGGCTTCCTCATTCCTTGTCTGATCATTTGGTTCACCTGGACAGAAAGGAATAGTGCGAAGCATAGGGATATTACTTTTATGTTTCCTCACATTGTTTTGCAGGTAGAGAGATACATTTCACTCCTCACCGCATTGGGCAGGCTCACGGCCCGAGACTGGACAGGCTGCACGCCACCGCATCGCTACATGGTGGCCCCACCACCGCCTGTTCGGCCTCCACGGGCCAGAGCTGTTTTTTGGCTTCGACCTGACTCTCCGTGGGTCAAGCTGAACACTGATGGCTCCTTTGATCGCCGCACTGGACGTGCCGGAGGAGGAGGATTGATTCGGGACCATAGCGGCGCCCTCATCACCGCCTTCCACGCGTCCATTCAGGCCTCCTCGAGCTACGATGCAGAGATTCAGGCACTACAGATTGGCCTTCAGATTGCTGCCCACCTCTCTAGTCATATATGGATCGAGCTGGATGTTGCGGCTGTCGCTACCCTCCTGACTTCGGGCCATCAGGGCTCGTGGCAGATTCAGCACCCGCCCCTGCGCATTAGAGATCTACTTCAGTCAGTCCATCACAGGATCACGCACATTTTCCGTGAGGGGAACAGACCGGCTGATTACCTAGCCAACCTTGGCGCCACCATACCAGGCACACATACATTCCAGACCGACACTGCTCCACTCTGTCTTCGCACTCTTGTACGGATGGACCAGCTTGGATATCCAGCGTTCCGCTTTCACTAGTTTAGGATTTCTGTTTGCATTAGTATAGACTTTTATTTCGGGCATCTGTTAGCCCGAAGATCGACTTTATATTGTAGTTTTTGTTTCTTTTTCGTTTTTCGGTTTTTCTTTCTTGTTTTTCTTTTGGTTTTGTTTTTGATTGTCAGACTATGTAGACCTTTGTATCTTGTTCGTTGACATTTTGGGCTCCCGTTTTTGGGGCCCTGATCTATGCACAGGTTGGGGATCCAGCTCAATCCCCCGTCCTTCCGGGGCGTTGTTTGTTAAAAAAAAAAAAAAAAAAAAAAAAAAAAAAAAAAACCTAGCAACTATAGACAAGTAACCTAGCAACTACAGAGAACTAACCTAACAACTACTAACCTAGCAACTATAGAGAACTAACCTAGCAACTACAGACTACTAACCTAGCAACTACAGAGAACTAACCTAGCAACTACAGAGCACCCGCTTATGCGTATTAGAGCTCTACTCCGGTCTGTCCATCACAGGATCACGCACATTTTTCGTGAGGGGAACTGACCTGCTGACTATCTGATCAGCCTTGGCGCCACCATACCAGACACACATACATTTCATACCGACACTGCTCCACTCCGTCTTCGCACTCTTGTACGGATGGACCAGCTTGGATATCCAGCGTTTCACTTTCAGTAGTTTAGGATTTTTGCTTTCATTAGTCCAGACATTTATTTCGGGCATCTGTTAGCCCGAAAATCGACTTTGTATTGTAGTTTCTGTTTCTTTTTCGATTTTCGGCTTTTTTTAAGTGAGACTCTGTAGACTATTGTATCTTGCTCGTTGATATTTTGGGCCCCCGATTTTGGGGCCCTGATCTATGCACAGGTTGGGGATCAAGCCCAATCCCCCGCCCTTCCGGGGCGTTGTTTGTTTAAAAAAAAAAAAAACCTAGCAACTACAGAGAACTAACCTAGCAACTACAGACAACTAACCTAGCAACTACAGAGAACTAGCCTAGCAACTACATAGAACTAACCTAGCAACTATAGAGAACTAACCTAGTTGGAAGGTTAGTGTCAACGGTCAACGCCGGAATTCAACAGATTTTGCCAGAAGTCAACAGTCAACGTCGGAGTCAACGGGTCAAAATAATATTTAAATAATTAAAACTAGTACAGCACCCGTGCGATGCACGGGGGTTTATTATCTCCGTCTCTTTTAAAAAGCAATTTTCAGTTAAAATTCAAAGTAATTACTAAAAGAAAGATTATGTCGTTAATAATTAATAAATTGACAAATATAATGAAAATAATATATATATATATATATATATATAATTGAACATTTCTTTATATACAACGTTCATGGTTTGATTCTTTGACACGTCATCGTCGCCACAAATTAGGATTTTCAAACTATTTCTGTTTGTGACACAAAGACAACAACATACAATTGACCATGAGAAAATACTGGTTTCTTAAGAAATAAGCCTACATGCAAATGATTGTCCCTGACTCTTATTTATAGTCATGGCGGAAGAAACCATAATGGGAAACTGTCAGCGCTAAAACTTGAAAGGAATTCTAACATCATAAGGAAATATAGTCATTCTTGGAATCAACATATTATCACCTGCGTGATCGCCAGTGAGTATCTTACACTCGAGAACGTGAGTGGAGAGCTTTGTCACAACCAATCGTGTCCCATTACACAGACCCAAAGAGGAGATATAGTTACAAAATATCAAGTTAAAAAAGATCGGATTAGCTTAAGAAATAAAATCATGCTTATCAATCCTATTATTCAAACGTTTACTGAGTACTTAGTTGTTTTCTAGATATATATTTGTGACATATCAATGTGACATAACGTTTACCGATATTAATGGAGTTTGTTACAATTTAATTTGGTAAGACTTTTTGGATCGTTTGAAAATTAATATTTTTATTTTGATATGTATCATTTGTCAAATCTCGAGATGTTTGATGCAATATTTATGTCCAAACCATCGAAAAAATTGTGAAATTTGTTACCTAAAGAAATCTCAAAGATTATCGGCAATATATTGTGTGTAAATAACTATGAAGTGTGTTAAAAAAAACTAATATTTTAAATGATTTGTTATCAAAATTCGAGATTTGTTATCACAAT